CCTAGTAACTTATTAGAAATACAGTTTTCAGGCCTTGCCTCAGACCTGTTAAATCAGACTCTGGGAATGAGGCCCAGCAATCAGTGCTTTCTAAGTCCTCTAAGAGAATATTCTAGAACCACTGGTCTATTTCAAATTGAGTTAGAGAACTTTGGAAGCACTTTGTTTAAAACATATAGAATCTTTTTTATATTGCTATGAATTAAGAGTGAGATAAAAAATTCATAGAATGCAAAAGATTGCTGCTAAGAGCCCTGGGAAGGGACTGGGGCTGTAGCTCAGTGGAAGAGTGCTTGCCTAGCACACGTGAGGCACTGGGTTTGATCCTCAGCACATTAAAAAATAAATAAATAAAACAAAGGTATTGTGTCCATCTACAAAAAAAAAAAAAAAAAAAAAGAGCCCCGGGAGGTCGTGAGGGCAAATAGTTTTCAAATGCGTCATACATGGAAATCTGAAGTTCTATTAAGTATCTCTAGGGATTTCCTAAAAGAAAATACATTCATATGTGACTGATGACTGCTAATTTAACCAGCTAGGATCTGTCTGCAAAAGAGTTGGAATTCTGTATCAGGAGTTTAAGGACTGAGTCAGTATCTTATTCATCTTTGTATCTCTGTTATCTCCTAGCACAGATACACAATAAGCATTCATGCATTCATGATAAATCAATGAAAGGGTGGAATAGCCATCTCATGTATTCAAGTTCCTAAGTAACTTTGACTTTGAGTAATGTTACAAGCTTACTTTTTTAAAGATCATATATTCATATATACTTTTTTTTTTTAAAAGAGAGAGAGAGAGAATCTTTTTTGTAGATGGACACAACACAATGCCTTTATTTTTATGTGGTGCTGAGAATGGAACCTGGGACCCGCCCATGCTAGGCGAGTGCTCTACCGCTGAGCCACAATCCCAGCCCCACATATAAACTTTTAAGAATACTGACTGCCTTATGTATGTGACCAGCCAACCTCTTCAGAAGTTTAGGTTTTATCTAATAAATTTTAAGAATAATGCCTCCAACTCTTCTGTGTGAGAAGGTGTGGGGGGGTGGCTTAAATGACTATCGTGCTTGCTTCATTTCTTGAAATGTTTATAAAAAGATTTTACCATGTATTAACTCTTCCAGTGACCAACCCAGGATTTTTCATCCTTGACACTATTTTTTTTTTTTTTTGTACCAGGGGTGCTTAATCACTGAACCCTTTTAAAAAATATTTTATTTACAGACAGGGTCTTGCTGAGTTACTTAGGAACTTTGCTAAGTTGCTGAGACTGGCTTTGAACTTGCTATCCTCCTGCCTCAGCCTCCTGAGCTGCTGAGATTCCAGGCATGCACGACCCACATCTGGCTATTTTGACACTATTGACATTTGGGGCTAGGTTATTCTTTATTGTGGAGCTGTCCTGTGCACTGTAGGATGTTGAGCAGCATTCATGGCCTCTACCCACGAGATGCCAGTAACATCACCCACTTCCAGTTATAACAAACAAAATGTCTCCAGAGACTGACAAGTGTCCCCTAGGGAAGAAAATTGCTCAGGTTGAGAATCACTTCTCTAACCTAATATTAATATGGTAAATTTCTGCATTTCATTCAGAGCTATGGAAACAAGCTTCAAGAAGGAGCATATGTTGTTCTACATCTCTCTTTAACTCATTGGTGAGGCCTTTGGCAGTGACAGCTCTATTTTGAAATTAACTAGTTCACAAACCTCATTATTTTAGGCCAGTTTTCTCCCGGGAACAACTTTATCTTTGGAGATGCAAATTCACAAACTCTAAACATCTTTTTTATACATGTCTTGTATACTGTTTCAGCTCTGAATTCCATTACTAGGCATTTTTGTTTAATAGTTTCTAAATAATTTATAGACTGGCTAAAAGAACTCTATAGAAGCCGAAATACGGAGTTAGCAACTAATGGAATGGTTGTTTCATTACAATATTTTAAAGAATTATTTAAGTAAAAATCTAAATGAAATATAATAATTGTCTTTATTTCATCCTACTTCAAGGTTCTGTCCCTGGAAAAAAATTCATCACTGCTTCTGGAATTTACTTCCTGGTATCTAAGGAATATGCTAATAATTCTATTTCTGAATTTATTTCAGATATTATCTATTTTAAAATTATTTTAACTTATCCTCACTTCTGCTCCTCCATATTCTCAATATATTACAATTTTTGTTTAAATCATCAGTGATTAAATGATAAGTTGATAGTGTATGCTGACATCCTTATTGACACCTTCATGCTAATGTCTCCTCTCTTACTATACCTGTGGGTATAAATTTTAAACTTTTATTTTTCTTTTTTTCCATTTAATGGTCTTTGGAGAGTGAGAAGGGAATAAAGCAAATGGCCATAACACATTTGACAGAAATAACAGGAAACTAAAATTATTTCTAAAAACTGTAAATGATTACATAAAGAATCTCAAAATTTTACTTTAGAAGGTAGAATCCTATTTCATTCTCACCTCTTACATTTAGCATAAGTGACAGTAAGGCATTTTTTTTTAATTTAAGAAAAAAGTATAAAATCTGGTTTTTAATTTTTCTGAAATATAGTCTTATAATTTCTTTCATTATTAACACTGAAAAATCAGGATCATCAAGAAAGCAAAAACAGAAGATTAGAAAAGATAACCTATTGCCATGATACATTAAAAAAAGATACTAGGTGAAAAGTAACATGTATGTAATGAAGCCTACAATTTGGAAGTTGAGTCAAACAGTTAATTACTAACAAAGATGGCAACCATGTTTCTTTTTTGTCTTTCACAGTGAATGCACAATTAGCACTTAATGCTAAGACTGGGGAATAAACCATCTATAATCTACTGAAAAAGACCATCTGCTTCTATAAATTTTGTTCTCATATACTTGCCAAAAGAAGAGAACATATTAACAAAATAATGGGCCCTGCACTGTTAATTGCTAGGTTGTTTGCAGTTGTGCTGTTGCTATTAGAATTTAATAAGCCATTCCTTCTGCTAAATTAATAAGCAGCCAAGATTATGTAATAGCTGCTTTCAGCTGCTAATTATTTTTCCCATAATTCCTTCCCCTTTCTACCCCACCCCCACTTTTTTTGGCTAGGAACACAGAGATGAGGCTGCCAATATGTCATCAGCATATCTCGCGTCCTCATTTTCAGAGTCACAGACCAACATTAGGAGCATAACCAATGAGTTTAAACTCGGAGGTGTCTATCTCTGGAACCTTGAGGACATGTGTTTTGTACAGAAAAAGAAAGAGCATTTGAAATCAGAGGGCGAATTTTCATTGCATAGTATTAGAGCTATCTTTGAACTGGTTAATGGTATCTATTTCATGTAGTAAGGGAGAAAAAGGACATTAGTAAACACCTTTAGGGAATGTTTGGGCAGAGAGCAGGTAAAAATTTAAGCAGGGGGCCTAAAGAACTATAGAGATACAGCCCTGTGCTTTCAGTCTATCATTTTTTAAAAATAGCTTTCAGTATAAATTAATCATACATGTTTTAGGAAACTTTCCAAGCAGCATAGTAGGACTAAGAAGGGAAGGTATTATACATTTTTTATTTTGTCAAACCAGTGCATTAAAAATACCCCAAATGCCTTCAAATCCCTATTTTACATCATCTTGGTTTTATAGACATTGTAACTCAAAATGAACATAATCTCTAATATAGGATATCTTTAAATTGATCAAATTCACTTTCATGAAAAAATTAGTATTTCTTTTATACTTTAGGCCATTAAAAAAATTCTGGCGACCATGTTTAGTAACCTCCACAGAGGGAATAACCCAACAAAAGCATTTTTCCAGTTCCTTTTGTAAGAACCTAGGTGACTGGGGTAATGAATAGTATTCGACATGGGAAACCCGTGGCTATTCAAGCAAGGTCACCTAATCCTGTGAGTCCCCCCTCCTTTCCTTATCTATAAAAGATGAGTTTAACTAGATGATTCATCCATTCTATCATCCCAAAAAAAAAAAGCATTATCCATTATGTGCCCAGAACTAGCTCAGCATTTTGGCTCTTAACAAATCTACCCTTTAATAGTCTTATTAACTCACATTTATGTTGTTACATACTAGGCAGTTAACCAGGTTAGGAAGCAAAATGAATAAAATCCAAGATGTGCAAATATAGGCTAATGGGCATGTAGGTGAAAGAGGGGCTTGTGCTTACAGGGTTTTAGGGTGAGGCTTCATAGATGTGACATTTGACAGGAAGGACATGCCAGGCAGAGCAAGTCGTCGGCAAGGCTAAACTGGAACCCAGGCGGCTGGTGGGGGCGACCCTGTGTAAAGGAAGCGGGATCTCGAGGATTCCGTCTAGACTTTTCAGCCGAGAACGGACAGTAACTCATCCAGTCCACCGTGAGGAATGGGCGAGGCATGCCCATAGAAGAAACTCTTGCGAAGCTTGGAGGGAAAGTGTCTGGGCTAAGGCTGTAGCAATACGAGGTGAAGGAGGGGCCACGTGCACCAGCTCCACGAAAGAGCTGATTTGTTTTCCCCCGAGTTGCAGCACTCTCTCCTCTCACCATCATCACCGACCGTTACCCATGCCACCATCTCGGGGCACCGGAGTCTTCGGAGCTCAAACTTGGCTCTTTACTGTCCGGACCTTCCCTACCCTGCACCACCGGGTCAATTAAGGGCGCCGCAGAACCCCATCCTCCAGTCACTAAAGAGCCGGGACAACCGCCCGCGCGCGTCCCGGAGGCACAAGCATAAGTACGCAGGCGTGCCAGCCGCGGCAGAAGCCGCTTCCGGGTCACGTGGCCCAGCTTCCGGTTATAACCACGCCCCCGAGCGGAGAGATGGCCAATCGGCTACCTCAGACTACGCGGTATCTGCGCTGCCTACAGAGCCGTTGGCTACGGCTGAGCGCCTTCCCGCGCGTCGCCCAACCTGCCCCTCCTCTCGCCGCAGCTTCGGCTCCTCCCTCGTCCAGCCCCCGGGGCGGGGTCTGTTGGCTCGCCCTTCCCTCGCTGCTTAAGCCTGCCCTCCTCCAAGCGGGTCCCCTCCCCACAGCACCACGGCTTCTTTTCCTCAGCAAGGCGACAGGGGCTTCCCCTCAGCCGCCGCCGTCCCCGCCGGCCGAGCTCCGCCGCGTCCGCGGCCAGCGGCCGCCGTAAGTCCCGAGGGACAATTGGAGGTGCTGGGGATGGGAAGAGGGAGGGATGGCTGGGCGCGCCCCCCGCCGCCCCGCGCACGCCCCGACGACCCCACCCCGCGCCCGCCTGGCCCGCCACTGGGGCGCCGCGCCCCGCAACTCACTTCTTTCCACGTCCGCGCCCCGCACACTACTCTGCGCTGCGTTTGGATGCGGGGGCCAGTCCTAGGCTCCGCGGGGGCCCCGCGGCACCTGTGGTTCGAGAATCGACTTAAGTTTTGCGGGGCGTTTTTGGGAGGGGCCGGGGGCGGCGGCGGCCGAGGACTCTAGGCGCCCCCTGCGCGGCGGCGGATGCCATTGTCTGCACCGCTCCTTGCCTGTCACCTCGCCCGTGCTTGGTCAGTGATGGAGTGTGGCCCCGGGAGTGGGGGTGGCATCGGAGACGTCGGGACCCAAGGAACGCTGGACCCAAGCCCACTCCAGGGTTGAGCCCATTGTTTTTGACACCAGTCTCGAGGAATTGTAGTGCCCTGTGATTTGTGGCAAAAATCAGAGCATTGGTTTTTAAAGAGAGGAAAAGCAATACTTGTGCCTTGCTACCAGGTTTCGTCCCATGTTAGCGCATGATTTATTTTAAGGGGGATACATTGTTTCTTCGTCCGACAAAGTGATGGGGCGGTTACAGGACCCTGCTACAGACAGCCGGGAACCCATACTGTATTTTTCGAAAGCAAACGCCCACCCCTCCTGGCTACCAGGATCTGTGAACACAGGGTCCATTCTTGTCCAAGTTTTGGTAACGGGTTTGCATAACTGTGCAGTTGATGCTTCACTTGCTGTCCCTTCGAATGCCGCTATCTTCAGGACTTATATGGGAGGCACTTTGATACCACTGAATAAATATCTGTGTGTCTTGTGCTACGGAAGCTTTTTAAGTAGAGTAATAAGCTAATTTTAACTTTAATAAAGTTAAATTACCAAGTCATAAATTTTCCAGGTATCTTGATGCCTTTTTGCATTATCGCAAAAAAAGCAGCAATAATTTCTTATTGGAATTTAGATCCCATTTTATTCTGTTGGTTGTGTAAATTCCCCCTCCCCAGGTTCAAATTCAAGATGGTGTGGTGAATATTAAGAGTCAAGGCTTGAATCTTACTCTCAGTGGCACTGTTAAAGGCACTTATAAAGGTTAAAAAAAAAAAAATGAATACCTATCTGAATCCTACCTTTAAGTAAACTTTGTAGAAACAATACTTACCGTTTGTAGTTAAGATAACCAGTTGAATTTTAAAAAATGTTGGCTTTAAAAGAAGATGTACACCGATCAACAGACTTGCAAGTTTCAAATAAATCCATACAAATTAGTTTAAGTATAAAATATATTAGAATTTGGCATCTACTCCATCTGTAAACGCTATTTTTTGTTTTAAATGAAGTATTTCATGTATTGTCCGACGATGTATACCTCTTATTTTTAGCCTTTTTAAGGTTTGCATTCTCTTCCATAATATTAATAACTCAGTTCTTAATTGTGTACGTGTTTGTGTTTTTTTTTCTTTTAATGAGAAGAAAACATAAACTTCAAATCAGGCTTTTATTAGGAAAAATATATTTATGCGATCCTTTTTTTAGTTAATATTTTAGATCATTGTTTTGCTTAAAATATGCTAGCATAAATTGAAGAGAGCATTCTAAATGATAAGTAGTTTGTCTGCAAGTAATTCAGCCTGGAACTAGAACGGCCTCGGGCTGAAAAACAGTAGATCTCCTGTTTCTTCCGAATGTACCTAAACCAATTGATATCTATAGTTCTTTTTTGATGCATGGTGTAGGCACTGTGGAATGTATAGTATGAGTAGAAAATCGTTTCTTAAATTACCAAAGCTATCTTTTTCTTAAAAATTTCACTCCATCTTATTACTGTTTTTCTTTTTATACACACGTTTCCCTCCAAAGATGGTGTGGTGAATATCATATGTGGTCACATGTATGTGGGTCAGGGTGGGATGGGAAGGGAAGATTTGCATCTAAGTAGTAAGATCTTTCTAAAATAATTTTCTGCTATTTTAACTGGCATAAACATATTGATGACTGCTAATCATTTATCAGTTAAACACCTACCCCTCAAAGGTTCTCTGAGAAACATGTAATCTTATAACTATTGACTCAAAGTATTGCATTTAATATTGATTTTCTTATTTATCTTAACAGATGCAGTTTATGTTGCTTTTTAGTCGTCAGGGAAAGCTCCGACTGCAGAAATGGTATGTCCCACTCTCAGACAAAGAGAAGAAAAAGATCACAAGAGAACTTGTTCAAACCGTTTTAGCACGGAAACCTAAAATGTGCAGCTTCCTTGAGTGGCGAGATCTGAAGATTGTTTATAAAAGGTATAATTTTTAATTATCAGAAAGGTGGGATAGCAGAATGAAATGATAGGTCTTTTTTGTGGGGGGGTACAGGGGATTGAACCCAGGGGTGCTTTACCATTAAGCCACATCCCCAGTCCTTTTTATATTTTATTTTGAAACAGGGTCTCATCAAGTCACTAAGGCTCACCTCAAACTTGTGGTCCTCCTGGCAGTCTCATTGGGATTACAGGTGTGCATCACTGCACCTGGCATTGGTCATTTGTAATAGGGAAGTTGCAGACTTTTCAGCAATAACATTTATAAATAATGATCAATAAATATTTAAATGAAATAGGTTTAAAGGAAAGCTTTTTATTTTAAGATAACTGCTGTTTTGATGAGTTACGCAGGCCAAAATGATACGTAGGGAAATCATCTTTAATTATATAATTAAAGACATAAATGATTAGTCATACTCAACCATCTTTTCGGGAAAATTCAGTGAATTCAGGGGCAAAAAGGATCAGTATTTTAAATTATATGAGTAATTCTCTGAATTTAGGCAAGCATAGATGAGAGTCTAATTCCCATGAATCTTTATAAAATAATGACAAATATTTAACATGCCTTGTATCTGACTGTTAGAATCTTATAAATATCTTGGCTACATATAGACTTTTGCAATTATACAGATGTCTAAAAATTTTATGTATGTATAGGATCTGTTTGTTAATAGTATTTATTAATTTGAATTACACTTGTTGCTGTGGTGAAGGTGTTCTTAGATATGATAGATAATTTTGCCAAAGATAGGTTTCTTAAAATTTGGTAATTTTTTTACACTGATATTTTAAAAAATGCTTTATATCTTTATTTTACTGGTATCTGAAGAAACTGTTTTGAGTATCTTAAATTTTTAGGATTGTTCTTTAACAGGTTTAATGAAATATAATTTATTTTTTTACAGAGTATATTTTAAAGGGATATTATTTGCTTCTTCCCCATTTCTGTTCCCTTTTGAATAATTTACTGAATTTAAGATTAAAACATTTCTGCATATAAAAAATTCTCTTGTATGGGGAGTATACAGTGAACTAACAGAATGGAATGCCATGAGGGTAGAAGAGAAGTCTGTTTTTTCTCTTTTATACTCCAAGTGTGGATGGTTTTTTGTTTGTTTCATTTTGTGTGTGGAGGGGTGGGTGGCAGGGAAGGAAGTGGCCATTGTAGGACAAAGCGAGTTTCTTAAAGATTTTAGAAAAATCGTAGCACTTGAGATCTGAGAGATATCTTGGAATAATCTGGTCAAATACTCTTTTATTTTTTAAGCTTTTTGACCCAGGGATAGAGTCTTAAATAAAACAAGCAGAAATGGAACTGCTCTTGTGAAATCATAGGTATCCCATCACCCTGCTCACTTGGCCTCTACTCTTTGCACAGGAAACCGTTCTGAATTTGAAAAATAATAATATTGATCAAATTTCTATTGTATTAAAACAATATATTTGGGAAAAGTGACTTGTTGGAGGTCATATGCTGCTGGGGGTGGGGGGATGCAATTTAAATTTCAAGTATGGAGGCAAAGCTTTTAAATAGGAGTGAAAAAAGATTAGGTGAGCTTCTTTTCAGAGATTGAAGAATGACAAAGGGTGGGGGGAGGACAGGGACTGAAACTGGCACCTGCAGGATCTGTAGGAGACTGCATAATAATAAAGTCCTGAACCCAGAGGCTTGTAAAGGAGAGCTGTCACCTAGGGAAGTTTTATCAGACTTGGTCACACCTAGAAGTGGGGAGGACTGCCAAGGAATGGGAGAAGTGGGGTGATCTTCACATTTCTAATTTGGCTGATGGGATGAATGGTAAATTAGAGAACCCTGCTAATTTTTAGACAAGTTGGTTTTGGAATGTCTCACTTTCTGGTGGGTTGTGTTGAGCATAGGCATGGAATTCTGGGGAAACTTAGACGAAAAGTGTTACATATCCATCCTTCAAGTGGAAGGCATAGGGTAAGTATTAGGTCAGTAAAGTCAGGGAAGCGGAGTGTATTTCGAGAGTAAGATCAACTAATGCCAGATGTCACATAAAATTCAATGAAGGTGAAGAAAGAATCTGGTAGATTTTGTAGTAAGCACTTTATAAAATTGTCCTTTGCCAGAACATTTTGAGTGGAGTAATAGAGACAGAACTCACAATGTAATGGGGAAAGAGTGAAGAGGTAGAGTAATTTAAATAGCACATGGAGACTATTTTGGGGAGCTTTGCTGTGAGAGAGGTGGTAACCACCCCTAGACATAGGAGTTGGGGACAGGATTGAAAAAAGGTGTGAGAGGCTTAAGCTTATTTTTAGATAGGGGAAGGAGTCCCCCGTGTGGAGGAGGAAAATACCAGCAAGGGACTCAAGCCTATGAATGCGCAGTTAAAAGGAATAAAGGAAAGAACTGGTTGGTGTTCCTATGCGTTCCACTCAGCCTGTCCCTATTGGGCCACTTCTTTTTCTTAAAGTTATAAAGAATATTTAACCTGACTTTAATATTTAGATCAACACTCCCTTAAGTAAAAGGTGAGCTTAACAAAAAACAAAAAACGTAGCTTTATTGAAATAATCATGTACAAAACATGGATTTTTTTTTTTTAAAGAGAGAGAGAGAGAATTTTGTTTATATGTGGTGCTGAGGATGGAACCCGGGCCGCACGCATGCCAGGCGAGCGCGCTACCACTTGAGCCACATCCCCAGCCCAAAAACATGGAATTTATAATCTGTTTTTCTATATACTCCCCCATTTCATCTTCTTACCACCTCATATATTTTTGTTGATATTATCAGGTGATTTGATTTCACTGCTCTAACTGGATGAAAAAGCCTTTTAAACCAGAGAATTACTGCTTAGCTCCTGAGAAATTCTGAACAGGCACTTTTTTTTTTGTATTAGTGATTTAACCCCTCGCTTTGCACTAGCACTCTGCCACTGAGCCATGTCTGCAGCACCACCAACCGTTTTATTATTTTTTTAAATTTTTTTTTTTACCTTGAGACAGTTTCTCTTTAAGTTGCTCAGACTGGCCTGGCACTTGCAATCCTCCTGCTCCAGCCTCCAGAGTAGCTAGATTTACAGGTATGCGCCACCATGCATTGCTGTTCAAACAGCTCTTTTGCTGTTCATATCAGCAGAGGTTTTTTATGTCCTTTTTGTTAAATTGGGCCATACACATTCTTCATTCCAAGTGTTTGGCATATAGATTTCCCTTTGGGGAGGGGAGCTGTAGGGGAGATTAGGAAAATATAGCTGAAAAGACAGACTGAAAATCTGAGGACCTGAATTGTCCATTTGTGCTATTAGCTAGTTTTGTGACTTTAAGCAAGTCACTTTGCCTCTGTTTCCTCATCCCTAAAATAGATACTCTTAAAGATCTCTTGAAGACAGAATATTGTATGTTTCTGATTCCTATTTTATGCAGCACTTTTTAAAAGAGACATTGGATTAGTCTTCTTAAATTAATTTAAAAATATGTTCATGCATTACTAGCTTGAGAATTTGTTAAAGGGTACTTATTGATTTTCTTTACTAACAAAAGAATTCTTAATGACATACTAGTGGGTATTGAGAATAGTTTAGCTACATTCACCCATAGTCAGCTGATAATTTAGCTGACTGCAGAGAAGTCATGTGTTTGAATATAAGAATAGGCACTTTCAGATGTTCTCTGAGTGCCAGTAATTAGAGTAAGCCTTAATCCACCGTGCTAAAAATAACCAAACATACCTTTCTTCTTACTAGTCTATTATTAATTTCACTTCAGATTTAGACTTACAAATATGTACTAAGAGAACAAAATGAGCTCATTATTGAATTTTTAAAAATGTTGTTTTTTTTTTTTTTTCAAACCATTTGGATTTTAAAAATAGGGAAAACACTTCAGGTTTTCTTGGTAATCTTTTACTAAAATCAGTATGACATTTTTTAGTTCTCTCCTTTGAAGCTCTTAAAATACTGCTTTGAGCATAGTTTAATTTTTACCAGGTGCAGGTTTATTTTAATACGATTGCTGGCTATGGTTTTTAATGTAAAATTCGGCTGTGGGGTCAAATTGCTGTTCTGGGTACATTACTCAAGCCTGGATTTCCTATAAACTCAAGCAATAATAGTATCTCTGGTAAGGTAGTGAAGATTAAAATGGTAAAATATGAGGAAGCCTTAGCTAACATTTAGTGCCTCATTTAGAGTGAGGACTCAAGTTTGGAGCCAGACTTCTGTTTCTTCCTTCTTTAAACTTTCTGAAAAGGCTTATGATCCTGATAGCTTTCTGTTCATCTGAAAAAAAGAATTCATTAAATTTTGTGTGTGTGTGTGCACGCGCGCGCGCACTTGCTGGGGATGGAACCCGTGGCGTTGTGCATGCCAAGTAAGCACTCTACCAACTGAGCTACATCCCCAGCCCAAGAATTTATTAATTTGACAGCTTCTTTTACATTCTTTTTAAAAAAAATATTTATTTTTTAGTTGTAAATGGACATAATATCTTTATTTTATTTTTAATGTGGTGCTGAGTATCGAACCCAGTGCCTCACGCGTACTAGGTGAGCACTCTACCACTGAGCCACAATCCCAGCCCTCTTTTCCATTCTTAATGAAAGTAAACATTTAGAGGGCCAGGGATATATTTCAGTGATAGAACACTTGCCTTGCATGCACAAGGCCCTGGGTTCGATCCCCAGTACCCAAACAAAAATTTTTTAGATAGTGTGGGTGGGACTTGTACCTCTTTTTAAAAATATTCCATAGCTGGGTATGATGGCACATGTCTGTAACCCTAGAGGCTCCAGATATTGAGGGTAGGTGGATGGAAAGTTTGGGGCCAGACTTTATTGAGACCCTCTATCCAAAAAAAAAAAAAAAAAAAAGAGGTGGGAATGTAGCTCAGGGGTAAAGAGCCTCTGGGTCTATCCCTATTACCAAAGAACATTATTGGTTGGTGTTTAAATTGATGCTTCTGAATGATTTCTATAATTTCAGACCTTTGAGTCATATTTAAGTAAATAAGTATCTTAAGTATTTGTAAAAGGCAGTACTGTAGATAAGGAGTAACAATGGTGCAGCCATTAGATTATATAACACCAGCATTGAGGAAATCTTGAAAATAAGGAATTTTACTGGAAATTATTAGTAAATGCTGTGTAATAGAATTATTTGGTATTCTGTTCACGTCAGCTAGCATAGCTTGTTTTTAATGTACCATTTTTATGTGAGTCCTTTTAATCTTTAGTTTTTTCTTTTTCTTTTTTTTTTTTTTTTTTAAGCTTTATTTTTATATGGTGCTGAGGATTGAACCCAGTGCCTCATGCATGGTAGGCGAGTGCTCTACCTCTGAGCCACAACCCCAGCCCCTGTAGTTTTCTTAATTCAGGGAATGTTATTTATCATTTCTGTGAATTTCTCCAAATTCAAAATTCTACTAAAGAGCATGGATTAGGAAGAACTTAGAGTTGGAATATTCCTTTGCTTTTTGAACAGATGATCAAAAACAGGGTAATGATGGGAAAGAGAGAAATCATTTGTTAAATTTGGAAGCCATGCCTTGTTATGTCTTCATGATTGATTCCCTTCAGGGTGATAAACAAATACATTCAGATGCCTACTTTATGTGACTACGGGAGACCCACCATTTTAAATAGCTTTCAGAAAATGGAAGTTAGGTAGAAGTTAGGACATGCAAAAAGACATGATGTGAGACAGACCCTATATACATGTGTGATTATACTAGTGGTGTGACTATACCATGTATAGCTAGAGGAATAAGAAGTTGTGCTCCATTTGTGTACAATGTGTCAAAATTAGTTCTGTCATGAATAACTCATTAAAACAAATTTAAAAAATAAATAAATAAATTGGAAAAAATAAAGACATGATACGTATGACAAAGGAGTCTAGTGAGAGGGTTAAGGACCTGGATTTAAGGAGGGAGACCAGTTTCTTGTCACAGTAGTTTTCTGGGCTTCATTGATTTTTGTTTTTTTGTGTGTGATCAAAGATGATAGTACTTGCTGTTGAAAAGATCCAATAAGGGGCTGGGATTGTGGCTCAGTGGTAGAGCGCTTGCCTAGCACGTGTGAGGGCCTGGGTTTGATCCTCAGCACCACATAAAAATAAATAAAATAAAGAGATTGTGTCCAACTACAACTAAAAAATAAATATTAAAAAAAGAAAAGATCCAATAAGATAAAATGGTTTTGATAATATTGAAATTAGTAGTGTTGTGTAAATAATAGGTTGTTTTTATACTGAGCAGGGACTCATTGAATCTTAAAACTGAAGTTGTGTATATTTTCTCTATATTATTTCACATTATACTATAAGCAGTAATTGCCTGTCATATTTTCTAAAAAATAATAAGTGCTCCTCATTGAAAAGTACAATCTAAACTGAGACTTGTTTAGAATATCTTAGGTTTTTATTTTCTTTCCTTTCAAAAGCTTTAAGTACACTTAAACCACTTTGAAATGTTCATTTAATCCTCCCTAAAGGACTTGTTATGCCTCAAGGTAAGTGTGTTTTTTTGGGATCAGGCATAACCCAGTTCCATGTGCCAGAATCCTGATTCGGAGGAGAGTAAGTGTCCCAGCCTTATTCTGTCTTCTCCGGTAAAGAATCTCCTTTTAATTCAACAGTGTGGAAGTGGGAAAATTTGAGGATGAGTCTCAAGTTTCCCTTACGTAATAAGAACTTTCTGTTCTATTTCTCAAACTTCTATAATAACTTGGAGCTGTCATTCTTTTTTTGTGGGGTGGACATTATTCCACAATCCTAGAAACCTCCTTTAATAAGGCTGTTCTGTGCTGTTAGAGGATAACATAGTGGTTACAATTGCCTATAGTGATGAGAGGTTGTGACAAGAAGAGGGTCTTCAGGTTCTGTACTATTCTGTTCTGGGTGCTGGTACATAAATGGGTTCACTTTGAAAACTCATCCAACTTTTATGACTTGAGATCTTCTCTGTGTATATATTATGCTTCAGTAAAATGTCCAAGGCAATGACCTCATCTGACAATATCTTCAATAAGTCCTTCAGTAGAAAGATCTATATTACTTGCTGTTTACTTGTAGTTTGAATTAATCCCGGTGTATTTTGCTCTAATTTAGTAGATTTTGTAGTAAAAAAAACCTGGGTCAACTGTTTTCAAATGTTTATAAAAAGGATCCTGAAAGGACAAAGAGCAAAATCAGTTACTCTTTCTAGATGGTATGATTTAGTGTTTTTTTTTTTTTTCTTTTTGCCTGTGTTTTTCAAAATATCTCATGCATTTATTACTTTTGTAGTCTAGGAGAAAAAAATTCTGTACTGTTGTAAGAAAAGAAATAAACATGCTTATAGCATGAGACCTTCCACAATAGAATATGAAAATATATTTAGAAAACATGATTATAGGGGTAACTTTTTTTTTCCACATTTGTTTTTTGTTATAGATATGCTAGTCTGTATTTTTGCTGCGCTATTGAGGATCAGGACAATGAACTAATTACCCTGGAAATAATTCATCGTTATGTGGAATTACTTGACAAGTATTTTGGCAGTGTGAGTATTTATTTTAAGAAATTGAATACCATCTCTCTCCTTTTTTTAAAAAAAAAATCTTTTTCCTAACAAGTTTATTATTTGCATATATTGGGGATTACAGGGAGAAAGCAATAATAACTTTTTCTCAGTTTGTCTACTCAGTTAACTTACAGGGTCATTGGCCATACAGACCTACTCATTTAATTATGATGGTTACAATGAGTTTTAAAATAGTACAATAGAAAGGACTCTTGACTGTAAACATTAATATCATGGTAGTGCTTAGTGCAGAATTCAGATTTGGTTAGCAGTTTAATCACATAACCCAGGAAATAAGTATTTAAAGATCAGTTTTAGGAGCAGAAAATTACTAAGTTGCTCACATTGAGAGTATGCAGAGACATGTCTTATTTATCTTGTATGCATTGTTTTTTCAAGTACTTTAAAATTTCAAAATTATGCTTACTTAAATTAATGATGCTTAGTCAATGTGATTGCTATTTTTAGAAAGAGTTAAAATTGATTCACTTTGGTCAGATTTCTTTGGCTTGCTTAAGTTTTAACAGTTTGAGGGATTTTGTTTGTATTGTTTTTGTTTTTCAGGTGTGTGAACTTGATATCATCTTTAATTTCGAGAAGGCTTATTTTATTTTGGATGAGTTTCTTTTGGGAGGGGAAGTTCAGGAAACATCCAAGAAAAATGTCCTTAAAGCAATTGAGCAGGCTGATCTACTACAGGAGGTAAGTCACTTGTTTTCCTGACTAGGCACTAGCATGTTTTGCTCTTGCTAGGGAAGTCTCAGTCATCCTTCTTAGAGTTTCGGTAGTTACCCAGAGCATGCTTGGCATGTATTATCCATGTGCAGTTTATTGATTGAAATATGTATCAGTCACATCAACTCAGTTATCTATGGATGGATGGTTCACTTTAGAGATGGTCTATTGGTCAAGCTTATTTTTGATGGCCCAGTTTTGGACCCTACTAGGACAGACTATTATAAAAAGAGAAAATATTGGCTAAACCTTACAGCAAGTTGAGAACTCTCCATCCATTGTTTTGAATTACTTAAGACAACCAACCTCCTTTTTAATTGGGAGTTGACTGTGAGATTACAGCATTTTCATTCCAGATTGGTTCATATTTTCACCTCATATCCATTAAGTACAAATGTAGCCAAGCAAGTGGTAGGGATTTCCAATTAGACATTTTGTAGAACTCTCTAGTTTTATATTAATAAAGCTAAAAAGTATTCATACTTTGCTTTTCTTAAATAGCAAACCATGTTCTATAAAACTACTGTTTTCTCATCTTACCTCCATATTTCAGAACCATAATAACCCCCTTCCCTTTTTAATTACTTCAGTCATCCTGGGGTAACCATGCATGTATTTGATACTTATGTACTTTCTGTTTCTGAAATTTAAAATTTCATATTGATATAAGTCTACCTTTTTAAAAAAATTTAATGATAGCTTAATTCAGGTACTAAATGGAATTATGCCTTAGAGCCAATTGTGGTTTTTATCATATAGAAAGTTTATAACATAAGAAAGGGTCAGTAAATAGAAAAAAAACAATGTAGTGTGTTTTCATTAAGGCAGTTGTTAAGTGTGTGTATATGTACATATATATAAAAAGTTGATTTTTTTTTGATTCACAGGTGTATTTTGCAGAAGCATTGAAAGTATGGTTTTGTATTTCTAGCTTATATTAGCCCCTCATTGTGCATTACACATGTATTTGTCAGTTCTTGCTTTTTTTTCAGTTACTAAAGGAGACTTTAAATTCAGTTTTTTAGTATTTCTATTTTTACAGAAATGGCAAGCTTTAAGGTAATGAAATGAGAGAAGATTTACTCTCTTTCTCCATTATAATTTCTTTACTATTGGCCTCTGGAGAGGAGGGAACTACTAGGGAAACCTACTACAACACTCAGTGGTAGGGGTTGCTGTAAGCTGAGGTGACAACAGTGCCTTGTGCACCTAATTATCTTGTAGTTATCAAAAGAATAGTTAGGGTACCTGCAAAAGTGAAGAATTTGTTGGCAATCCTCATACCATCTGCTGTTCAGTAGTAGAATGAGAACAGACCTTTTTCCTTCTGTGTACAGTTTGCCACAGTGATTATATTTGGAGATTTTTATTTTTAGCATCAGGTGTGCTGACTATAAGCATATGTTGTATGGTTGTAAAATTGGTTTTAAAGTTAGTACTTTCTTATTTTGCTGCTCACTAAACAAACGTTTAAAGATTAGGTAGAATCCAGGATGAGGAATTGGGAATTTTTCATATTTGTCTTTTTCCTTGGTCACTTTTATATTTCATTATTATGGACTTATATTCTGTTCTATCAGAACCTGGTATTTCTTCCAAGTTTTTCATCATTTTCTGATTAATTACATTTGCTTTAAACATTTAAAACATTTTGAAAGTTGTTGAAGTTCAGCTTCTTACTTTTAATGTTTTCCTTAGATGTTTAAGGCACTGATATCTCCTTGTGCCTGGAATATTTTTTTTTAATATTTATTTTTTAGTTGTAGATGGACACAATACCTTTATTTTACTTATTTATTTTTTATGTGGTGCTGAGGACTCAACGCAGGGCTTCACATGTGCTAGCCAAGTGCTCTAACACTAAGCCACAGTCCCAGCCCTGGATTATTTTTTAAATGATACTGGGAAATTACTATGTACTTTATAATATATGGCAATGATGCTATGTTTAGCTTATAGTACTTAATATACTAGGGGATAAAAGCATTACTATAGAAGTATAATTCCTAATATAAATGCCATCTTTAGCCTCTTAGTCTGGGGATTTTTGTTGTTCATACTATCAGTGGTAAGAAATTTTTATTGACTATGTAGATATAAATAATATTTTTCAAATTATTTCTTGTTAGATTTATCAAAATGCTTAAATTTATGTTACCTATTTTGGTTTTGCTGTTTGGGGTGTAGTATTCAATTAGTCAGTGTCATGAAGTGATTTTACTTCCAAAATTGTAAATATGGCTGTACTATACTTTATTAAATTCAGCCTTAAGTTTTAACCTAATTTTTTAAAAGTATTTATTTTTTTAGTTGTAGGTGGACACAATGTCTTTATTTTACTTTATGTGGTGCTGAGGATCGAACCCAGTGCCTCACGCATGCCAGGCACTCCCTCTACCTCTGAGCCACAACCCCAGCTCTTAATCTAATTTTTAAAGCATTGTAATTTTTTCTATTTAGTGTCAGGTCTTTTATTTGGGTTATTTCTAAGCTCTAAAAACTTTCAACTTAAAATGAACTTATATCTGTTGGGCTTAAAGATAAATGAAATCACAGAATGATTTTGGTTTTTAGTTCTTTTTTAGCTTGTAAAATGTTTCTATCCTTAAGAATTAGATTTACCCAATTTATATGAATGTTACATAATTTAGATAGTCTTTCATCTTATAGGCAAACAGGACAGATTGTCATTGGCTCAAGTAGGTTGTCAGCATAAACATTAATAAGAATAAAACAAATGCATATTTAAATAATAATTGCTAAAATATCAGCATAAGTAATCAAAGAATAATGTTACCTTTTTCATTGTGGTTAATTACTTAGTAAACAAGGGATCATTTTTGGCATTTGTAGACTGAACTCTGTGCTTGTTCTTTTGGTATTTGGTTGTGTGAATACACGATTAGATTTTGGGGGGAAGCCTGGAAATTGGCCCATTTTCCAATTTTTAATGTTTGTTGGGATTTTAAACATTTCATCTTAACATGCCACTGGTACTAAAGTTGACTCTTAAATTATTAAAGTATAACTTGTTGTGGTTGCTAAATTGGTAATTTTATATATATATATATATATATATATATATGTATATATAGTTTTAGTTGTCAATAGACCTTTATTTTATTTATTCATTTTTTATGTGGTGCTGAGAATTGAACCCAGTGCCTCACACATGCTATGCAAGCACTCTACCACTGAGCTACAACCCCAGCCCTATTGATAGATATTCTTTACAATGTTTGGAGTACCCCCACCATACACATATATATTTAAGCCAGATTTTTTGGAGGTGAAGTGGAGTATGATGATGCAGTTGGATTTATTTTATAAACACATACATGTATAATGACAAAGGAAATAATAGCATGGCATTTTTTTTCTGTAAAAAATCAGCCACTTACCGGTTTTTCTCTGCTCCTTAATTTTATAGAGCCAGAATGAAGAATGGGGAGGTTTGTCTGAGGATATCTTATGATAAAGAGCAGTCTAAGGCTTTAGTCCCTTTGACCCCCAACTTATTTATTGGTAACTACTAAATTTACCATTTTGTGGCATGGATAAAATGGGGTGCTATGCAAACACTGTTGCACGTGAGATGATTTAAAGTCCTTGCTTGATCTGTGAAGATCAAATAGTTAAATACTGGGCATTGGGCTTTAACCCTCAGCATTAGATGCATGATGGTGTTGATCAGCGCTTTGAGATGTGTTGAACTTTCTTTTTTATACTAACAGCATCGTTTTGAAATTTGTGGTGGTTTTTCTTTTGAGCTTTGTTTGCTGTTGGTATTGTTTCTCACTGAAGTAATCTGCAATGGAAAATAAGTGAGGTACCAAAAGCAAGCATTATTATACTCATGAATTTGCTTCTACTTCAAGATGATCCACTTTATGAATAGATTTACTGGATTTGCAGATGTTTATCTGCCTCATTTAGAAAGTGGTACTCTATGGAGAATTACTGCTGCTAAAATTGATTTGTTTTAGTGCTGGGGGCTGCATGATATGTCTTAGTACTATGCTGTATCTGTGAAAGCAATAATTAATAAATCTGTGGGACTGCATAAAATGGAAAGGTAAGAATCTTAGGAGAAAAAGTGATTTCTTTAAAAAAATGAGGCTTTTGTAACTTAAAATTATTCTAAGTAAATAAGGACTTTTTGAAGGATAACATTATACCTTTTAAATGAAGATATGAGTTATCTTAAAAATTACACCTTGCTAATTAAGAATATTGGGGCATGTTAGTCAAACTCAAGAATATCTTAGTTGTTTTAAAAGAGGTAGATGCTTTCAAATATATATAATAATGCCATTTAACAGCAAAAAGTATTTTGATACAAATCCTCCTAAGATTTGTGTAGTATTGGACAACCTAAGACAGGCACGTCCCTAAGCCACATGCTTGGTGTTTAATTAAACAGAAGGGGGGAGATGCTGAGAGCCACAGCCGAGTCAGAATGGCCCCTGGCATTTTGCCAGAAGTAATGGTTGAGAAGGGAGCCATTAAGATGATGCTGGATTGATTCAATTGTATATTAGACCTTTACTGTCCGGCTAGTTTGGAGTTCTCTGGAGGATTGCCTGGGGAGTACGAGTTGGTGGGGGAAGTTGTTGGTGGGGGAAGTTGTTGGTGGGGGAAGTTGTTGGTGGGGGAAGTTGTTGGTGGGGGAAGTTGTTGGTGGGGGAAGTTGTTGGTGGGGGAAGTTCCAGGAGAGGGAAGTTCCAGGAGAGGGAGTTCCGGTTGGTATGTTGTGTGTCCCGGAGAAGGCCATGTGGGTGGCTTTCAGGGGAGTTCAGAAATAAAGTTTGTTCCTGCTTGAGAGACTTGTGCCCAGCCAGACTGCGGCAGATTTGCTTTAATAAGACAAACTCCTGAAATTCCTTTGTAATTATTGCTATTTATGTTAAAAGTTTTAAGCTTAAACCTCTTTCTTTTAAATTGGGCAAAAAATTAACAAAGCTACAGTCTTTTATGCCATCATATTTTAATTTTATGTAATCTTAATTGGGGTCTACCAGAACCAATTGGTTACATTGATTCTTGAGATGGACAATCCAGAAGGGGGAATATACAGAAGGCAGAATAAATCTTGCCTTTTACTTTTCTTTTTTTGTAATGGGGATTGAACCCAGGGGACTTTAGCATTGAGCTACATCCCCGGCCTTTTTTATTTTGAGACAGGGTCTTGCTAAGTTGCTGAGGCTGGCCTCAGACTTGTGATCCTCTTGCCTCAGCCTCCTAAGTCATTGGAATATTCCATTGTTTGTCTCCATACCTGGTTTACTTCACTTTTAGTAAGAAACACTTTGGCTAGTGTCCTTGGTTACTTGTTTCCATGTTGTAATCATTTTGTAGTGTGTGATTTTTAGCCCTTTTCCTTTGTCTGATTTTCAGAATTTTAAGAATTATCCTCCCTGCTGTTTCTTTTCTAGCTTATTGTGAATCACTTCTTATTACTTTGGGCTATTTGTAATGATGAAAAGTTGGAATAACTTTGATCAAGTAAATTTGATCTTCAAACGTTTTTGACTAGAACCTACAGTAATACATTTTTATATCACAATAGTACATAACTATAAAAAATTATTGAATAATACTCTGGTTTCTTCTTTTGTAATCTCTCATTTTCTATTATATTCTATTTTTCTGTGTTTGAATGTTTATCCTGACTTACTAAATTGATTTCATGAGCCATAGGGTTGGGGCCTGGAAAAAACACATTCCAGAAGGGTCAGTGGTGATTTTTTTTTTTTTTTTTCAATTGAATAGTACTTTCTGAAAAATTTAGATTTGAATTTTTTCTCTGGCTGACATTGTAATTTCTTTAGTTTCCTCTGTTGCCTTTTTTTTTAAAAAAGTTAATTTCCATTATAGAAAAATGAGCAAATATAGGCAAACACAATAGAATATATAATCTTATCCCACCAACCAGATTAATTCAGTGGCTCTTCTCTGGTGGAGGTTGGGCATTTGTGCTTTCCCAGGGTCTGTTGAACTATGTGGACATACTTGTCACAACTGGTAGTACATTATTACTGATTTCTAGTAAGTAAAGACTATGGACACTGCTCACTATTTTGCAGTGCACAGGACAGACCCCCTAGCCCCCCAGAACCAGAACCAAGAATTATCCAATCCCAGTGTCAGTTCTGTCCAGGTTGAGAAAACCTGGTTTAATTTGACACCATGGAAGAAAAATCCCATTTACATTTATAGACTGCTACATTGTTTCAGTATTATACATAGTCTATAGTATAAATAACTGGCTTAGACATTAATCAAAAATGGAAAAGGAAGAGAAGAGAAAAAACCCTAAAAATTATGAAAGAAGAATATATGTGCTAAAAAACACATAAATGCCTATAAAAGTTATTCACCCAAATTATCTTTACTTGATAACCAGTGACTGGGAAGATAATCTGTGGTTGACTTTAGAACCTGTCCCACAGCAAGGCTTGTAGGATGTCACTATATAATCTAATTTCCTCAACAACAACCAAATCTGTTCACTTCTATTAAGGTAATTGAATTTTTATGTGGAAACAAAATTGAGTCTACCCTGCGGGCAGGCAGAACACTTTTGAATTTTCTGCCCATTTCCCCATCTACCTTAGGGATTTGATTATTTCTTAAAGAAGAATGGATTAAATGACCAGAATTTATACATATAGACTTTTCTTTTGTTGTGTAGTTAGACTTTTTGTTATTGTTCTTTTACATCCTCTAAGCCTTAAACAGTTTACTTAGTAAAGGTATTTTAGAGTTTGTGATTCCAAGAAAATTTTTTGTTTAGAAAGCCCTGATTGAATTTAGGTCATTTCAAGGCAAATACAATACAGGTAAATTAGAATAAGCTTAAAATATTTCTTTATAGTCTAAAATTATATTTGATAAGCTAATTTTTCTACCTTTTTTATTTAAAAAGTACAGTTAACTGCCAGAGAAAGTAATTTGTCCTTAGTATTTTATAGCTAACCAGCATCTATAAGCTATAGTAAAGTTACTCTCATCATTATTTTCAAGACAAATGTAATAGAAATAGATGAACAGCACAACAGAAAAAGATAGCAAGGACATGAATAAGCAATTCACAAATAAAAGAAAAGGAAATGAAAATTAAAATATCAAGGAGACCTTTGTTTCTTCTTGGATTTGCAAGATAGACACTCTGGTGCCTCCTTGTGAGCACTTAACTTGTATTTTGTTTTGGAGGATTACTTTGGAGATATATATTAGTGACTAAATGCACACTATGCCATTTGACCCATTACTTACACTTCCAAGAATTTTATTCAGTGGAAATATACAAATACATCAAGACGTGGCTCAGATATTAGATCATCGGAATGTACCCAAATGTCCATCAGTGGGAAATAGGTTAAGAATATCACAACACAGTCATATTTGCAGCTGCTATCATAGCTGTAAAAGAAATGAGATCATAGCTGAGTATTGCGGTGCACACTTGTATTCCAGCAACTTAGGAGGCTGAGGCAGGAGGATTGCAAGTTCCAGGCCAGCCTCAGCAATTTAGCAAGACCCTGTCTGAAAATAAAAAGGGCTGGGGATGTAACTCAGTGGTAGAGCACACCTGAGTTCCATCCCCAGGTACTCCCGCCAGAAAACAACCTCAAGACCAAATTTTCTGTGTAATATGGAAAGATACTCAAGGTATATCAAGTGAGGAAAAACAAAATCTATTAGAGGATAATAACTAACTTAAATGTTACCTCTGAAAATGTTTAAAAAAAGTTAGAACTTTTTAAAAAATAAAAATAATGCTCCTGGGGCTGGGGTTGTGGCTCAACAGTAGAGTGCTTGCCTATCACGTGCAAGGCCCTGGGTTTGATCTTCAGCACCACATAAAAATAAATGAATAAAATAAAGGCATTGTGTCCAACTACAACTAAAAAATAAATATTAAAAAAAATAATTCTCCTGTGTGAATGAAAGAGTACACATTGTGTTGCTTCAGATAGTACAACTAGAGCAGAATTTACTAAAATAAAGCTTTAGCATATAGCGTAAAGTACTTGTCTGCTCTTGGCCATTTTAGACAGTAACCATCTGGAGCAACCACATAGATCTTGCCTCTCATTGCCTAACAGTGTTAAAAAAAAAAAATCACTAGACTTTCTCAGTAATTCACAAATGCTCATGAAATAAGACTGACACCATAAGCCCTATCATTTAAAAGGTGCCTTATAAAATGTTCCCAGTTCTTCTCTTTTTAAATTCATTGCTCAAAATAGATCTTAGTGACATTAGATACTCTCTGGCCCTTTGGGGCTTTAACCCATATAATAGGGTTCCAGAGTTGAACATAAGGACTTTGCATGCTTTGCTACATAGTTCATTTAGGGGGATTAAAAAGGGCCATTGTGTTCTTGAACATGAAGGACAAAGGATACAATAGTATCGTATAAATAATAAGTGAAGAAGCCCCTATACCAAAAATCTGCAGTAGATCAATAACTTGAAAATATACTTATTTATATTTGCTTTTCATTATATGTAAATTA